TGACGTGACGAAACGCGCCGCGCCGTGCCGCACCGAGCCGCTGATCGGACCTTGGATCCACGCCAGCCCACCCAGACCCAGACCCTGCAAAGAAGGGGCAGCTGATGCCCGATCCGTTCCCCTACTCACCGTTTTTTTTCTGTTTCCAACTTCCGTCCAGGTGGATGATGATGATGCCACGGATGCCGGTCCAGGTGGCGCCTTGAGCTGGGTTGCTCCCATTGGTAGGACCCCTTCCTCGCCACGGTCACCCGCTCTTCTTCTTTGCTCGGAAGGGTCGGGAGCTGGACTGGCGTCTTCTTCTCTGGCCGTCTTGTAACGCCGCTCTCGTTACTGAGCCATGGCCTTTCGAGAGTGGGGTGCAAATGGCGAAGTGCTCTCATTGATGTATAAAAATCACTCATTTACATGCAATGCCATTATCAAATTATGAGTAGCGGGAGTGAGTACTTCTGTTCCATCATTTTTATAAAAATAAAAATAAAAAACAAAATTTCTTAAATTTTTTGAAACAAAATGCACATACAGTTGGAATATCAGTTTTAGAATACATGATGAATCATAATACTGGTTTCATGGGTAAGTTAGTGCATTCCTGAAAAATAGATAGATGAGATGTAACATAAAATTTTAATTTTCAAGACCAGCTAGTAATATATTTCAATGTGAAATTTTCAAAATGAATTTCATAGTGGAATCATTCTACTTATTTTTGTAGTTTTATTTTACCATCCTTTTTTACAAAAATTATAAGACTCTTCATGCATCATATAATTTCACATGGATCCATTCTTTACATGATGTGGATAAATTTACAATTTCACTACATTATTGAAGGAGGGAAGTGGATAGAAGACCCAATTTGAATAAAGTCAGTTTTACATTTAAAATTTAAATCAAATCAAAACAAATTTATAATAAAAAGGAAATAGTTAACTCTCTATAAATCCAAGATATCAAATACTACTATTTTGAAGTAGAAGATTCGATAGATTGCTATATTTGACTCTTATATGCCAAATTAAGTGCCTGCTCACTAACTCTGTGCATGGAAGCATCATGTCTTTGTTTCATAGTAAAATGACAAGGCACTCAATCTTAGGGGAGTTTTAATAATTAGCATGCTCCAACTTTTCTTTTGACAAGGAGCAGTGGCCCATGTTGTTTGTTTGTTTTGTTTGTTTGTTATTATTTTTTTTTCCTTCACACATGGAAACACATGGGAACAAGGTTTTGGGATAGCTGAAAGGGGACTACTTTCAAATTCTATGAAAAGTATGCTTTCTAATCTTGAATATTGTTTGGAAAAAAGATAATGTCAATATTAGTTTTTCATATTTTTGTTTTCTCCCATACACATTAAAGAATTCTGTGCATGTTTCTTATTGAGGTGTTTTTACAATGCCACACCTCATAACTTACAAATAGAGATGATTTTTATGTAATACTTCACAAGTAACAAAATGGGGGGTTGTTTTTTTTTTCCATCAACACTATGAGTTTGACAAAATAAGAATAAAAGCGTTATGCTCATATGAGGACATTGTCATTCATAATTCTTCATGTTAAAACTGAACATTATTTAAAGACAAGTAACCATATGTACATAGATAAAATTGATGCTTTTAATGCTAATTATGAATCAAATGAATTTTATGGAATGTGACACAACATAATAAAATCTTATGGTTCCCAATTTTGGTATTTTTTTAATCTGATGGTGAACACATAATGTTGAAATGACAAAATCTATTTTCTCAAAAGTCAAAGTAAAATTATTGGAATTTTATTAGAATGGATTATATCAACTATTTTTAGTAAATTTGGTATTTTTATAAGAACATATTTTTATAGGTTTTCATGGCAATAGAATTTTTACACAATTGTTTTTTAAAGTATTCAACCATCAACTTTCACCTATCATGTGTATGTGTGTGTGTGTGTGTGTGTGTATATATATATATATATATACAAACATATGCTTGTAAAAAAAATCATTTGGAAAATTTTGGTTAAAGACCAAAATATTTGGAACCGAAATTTTTAGAAGTACTTGTTAGAGTTGGAAGTTATTATAGAATAATGTACATGTATTTCAAAGGGAAAATTTGTAAACAATTTAAATTAACTTTCTTTAAAACATGAAATTTGTATAGGGTAATTGCAATAAATGAGCCATAAAAACTTATGTGTTAGAGATTCTAGGATACGAAATAACATGCATTCAATACAAGAATTCTGTTCTTGTGTATAAACAACAACCCTGCTGTGTAAATTAACCATTAGAACACTGCTTCTTTTTGGCAGTTGGTTTAACTATTCATTCTTCAAACAAATTGGATGTTGGATTTTTATTTACTCAGTCACTTGGTTGAAACCAGCCTTCATGCTTTGTGTGTGTGTGTGTGTGTGTGTGTTATTTTTCTTAACTATCTTATAAATTTGTTCATACAAGTCATTAGATCTGGCCCAAAAGCCTAGTAATATACCTTAGAGTCACAAAAAAGAAGATCAATTGCAATGCCATTGAAGAATTTTATGGTCCTCATCAATAAATTTCTTCAAATTAGATATATCATGGTTTAGATTGCTTTGGCAGTTCCTAAAAGCAATAGTATTTTCCAAGCCTTTGATTTCCATTCTTCTACTTTTCAGTTATACTGAGAGGTTGCTGTCCTAATCTTTGGCAAAAATATTGATTTTTTAAAAGAAATCATGAAATACATCTATATATATATATATATATATATATTATGGTTATTATGATTATTATTTACTTAATTTTCTAAATTGATGACATTTTCTCTACAAGCATGTAGGGAGATATTTTGGAATTTGAGGTTCAACATTGGAAGATTCTTTGGTTCCGTAAGGAACATCACATGAGTAGAAATCAATATATGAGGAAAAATTTAGAGGTTCTCAAAACCAAGAGAGTAGGCCACAACTAAGTTTTCTCAACTAAGCATTAGTTAAAGGTTACCTTTTGCAGACAGAAGCCTGGACCTGTCACTGAGCTCTCTCTTTCTGTCTCCGGTTTTGCTCTTCGTAAGCATCACGGCAGTAATAATACAAAAGCAACAATTGGCATCTCCTGTCCCAACTCCAACAGATTGGACTCGGATTGTCAGAGTGGCTCTAATCCCCTTTGTCAGGTTGGGCCACTTTTTAAAATTTTAAGTCTTTTCTGGGTACAATTTCCTCTCTACTTCCCTGTGTCCTTTGAAACCACCAATGCCTCAAATGGGCCCTTGTGTGGATGCACACTTTTTGGAGAGGAAAGGATGAACTTGGCCTCACTTTCAAACAGGCCTAACTTAAAGGGAATTCACCACCACTCCCATATGTTCATGTCCATTTTCCCCCTTTCTATCTCCATCATCACTACAAGTGGCATAAAAATGGCAGCAATGGAGAGCCAAATATGAAAGGGGGGGGGGGGCCTTTTATGCCATTGGCACTCCTCCTGCAGTCACTAGCCCAGCCTTTGAATTATTTGTCTGTCACCCTCTGTGAATTTCTGGATTGTACAATCCAAGCCTTCAAAATTAATATTGGCCCATATCTCTCTCCCTTTTTCCATATCCATCTCCCTTTCTTTATTTCTTTTGAGCCCTGGGTATGGCTTCTCTTGTTGTTTTATAATTTATAACATTATTCTCTAGCAATGTTTTCAATGTCAATAGTAACATGACTGAATGTATCAAGAGAAGAATATCAGCTGCTCCTGCAAATAAGCAGTAGAAAGAAAAGAAGGCTGGTGTAAAATGACAATTCAAAATATATTTATATATATATATATATACACACACATTCATATGTATATTCCCACACAAACACACACAAAAGGTGGGGAGGGGGAGGGGTTACAGATTGACAGTGGCACTCCTGAGGTGGATGGCTCTGGCACTGACACTGAAAGAGTGTGCATGTGGACACACAGAAAACCCCTCTTTCACTCTCTTTTTCAATGTATATATATTTTCTCAGTCGCAGTTGCTGTCTAACTATGATTGTGTGTGTTATTTTTGCTTTTTCTTTATTACTTTAATTTCTTGCATAAGCTGATGTCGGGTTTCAATGATGGGGTGTATGTGTGATGCCATTTTGACTCAGACTAACTCAGCCTGCTTAAGAGGTGGATCTAGATGAGATGAGATGAGTAGAGTGGAGTGGAGTACTGAGGGGCTGTTGTGAGAAACAGTGCCAGGGCCAAGCCTCCTTTTACCACTCTCATACTCTGCCATTATTCCATTATTTGCCTGCTCCTCAGGCTCTCTGTCAGACCAAGCCAACCCCCTCCCCAGTTATGAGAGCTCCCCTTGATGTTGCTTTTGCAACAGCAGCATCCGATGCTGCAGGTGAAGAAGAAAGGGAAGAGGAGGAGGAGGAAGAGGAAGGGGAAGAGACACTCCAGCCCAACTGTTGGGGAGGAAAAAATTAACTTTAATAAAATTATTATTTTTGGTACCAATCATGTCCCTTACAATTCTGTGAGAATCAGCATTTAGTGCTGCAACTTTGAGCAACCCCTGCAGGGTTGGTGAAGCTTCTCAATCATGTGAATACGGCTTCCCAAACAAAGGACGGAGGAAGAAGATGAAAGAAGAAATAATGGATGGGTGGGTGTGTGGATGAATACAGATCTATAGATGAATGGGAGTCTGAAACTTCTGCTCCTCTCAATCTCCACGGACTCAACTGTCTCGCACTCATTATGCCACAATTGAGCTTAGCAATCAAGACCCCGTTTCCCACATGATTCATCTCGGCTGCTGGAGGACTCCAGTGGCTCACTGCAGACTCGGTGACTCTGTGAGAGTGTGTGTGTGTCTGTGTGTGTGTATATGCATTGCGTAAGCTTCCAATTCCCTTCCTTGGTGCTAAGCCTTTTTCTGATGGGAGAGGACTGACTTGCTCGTCTAATAACCCTACTACTCACGAAACTTATAAAAATTCTCATACTTCCACCCTTCTACAGAAAGGTTCGCACATTCTCATTCAGTGATTTACCACAAATGTGGGAACATGAATAAATAAATAAATAAATCATAATACTTGGTATTCACAGTTGCTAACCCATTATACATATCGCACAAGCAGAGCACACCAACACCTTCACTGGCCTATAATCGTGTCGACCTAATCAGCAACTGCCCAGCTGGAAGCACAGCAGTCACCAACACTTCTAGAGGATGACCTCTTAGCACATGAGATTCAATTTCCATGTTGGGGCTGTCTGTAGAGGAGAGCACTGTTGCATTGCCCAGTAGGAATCTACAGTAAGTTCGCAAATTGTCTCGCGCCGCGTGTGGGCAGATTTGTGGAAGGGCTGTGGACGGGATCCAGCTATTCCTTTGTTTCGCTCCCGATTATTGGAGTTTCGTCACGACATTCTAGTGTAACGTGAGACAACCATAATCAAACACTAGTTTTCTGAAGCTGTCAGCGCGATTCTTTCAGAATGGAATCAGTCAACGGAACACTGCAGTGCAGCCCGGGTCGATGATTACCACGGCAGCATCACCAGCTCCACTTTGATGCAAAGGCTTTGAAGAGCTCGCTCCTCCTTAAATTAACTGCACGGGTACCGCCTCTCCAGACGTGGGCGGCTTCTCCCATCACTTCATCGATGGCAGGGGGCGAGTGATTCCTGGCATTCGCTCGTTGTAGTAGAGCTGGCGAGTGCCCTTGTATCGTGTTTTCAGGTAACCGACCAGTGTCGCACTTCCCGCTGGTACGAGCGGCCGTCGTGCTGGGCTCCGCTCTTCCGTTCTGCTCCTTTCACTCATCTTCTAACTCATCTCCGACAAACTCACTGCCGGAGTATTCTTCTGCGAGAATCCACGATGATGCTCAGAACAGGTAGCACGGTGACAATTGCAAGCCCAGGTCGGGCTGCCGGATGTCAGAGTTCTCGCATTCAGTTGCGCAGGCCAGTACCAATCGACCCATCCCGCGAGGCTTCTTGGGAGCTGGCGGACAAGCATCAATGTCCACAGCGGGGATTCTGTGCTCGTTGGATTTGGGGGTCTCACAACCCAATTCTCCGGCGTCCTCATGTGCTGGTTCGTTCTCCCTCAACAGGCTCATGTCCAACGACAAACTGCTCTTGGATATCGACACACTCTTTGAAGTCGTGCGAGAACCTCCACGCACCTTCGAGCTGCTGGTGGCGGTCCGCACCGGTCGATGTTTAGGCAGCTGGCATTCCCAGGTGTCTAGAGAAACATGACCCTGTCCCAATCCCATTGACTTCATGGACTCTTGCGCTGATTGCGAGAACAGCATAGTGGATGCCATTGCTGAAATGCAACAATGCTCAGCCGCAGAAACCTTGAACAACAACAAGGATATTAGACAGACTGCTCTAAGCTACGTCTTCACTATCCCCCCCGGAAAACTCCCCCGGATCTCTGAGAATTTCGAGACTGCAAACCAACAATCAGATCATCTAAATCTCCCACCACAATTCAACTGCCGGAACGCTACAGCACACTTTTAAACAACGCAAAACACACCTCTTGAGCTAAGAGCCAGATCCAGTTCCTTTCAAATTCTTTAACTCGCCTCTCTGCAGAAGAATAATCAACCCCAGGTCTCGATTCGCGCTAGTGGATCGATTATCCCCTCAATATCCTAATTGGAGAAGCTGCAAGCGCAGCGTCACACACCCTCACAAACTCGTCTGCTTGAAATTCTCTTCTCAAACACACACACCAAACGCGGCTGATGCAACTGGTGGGGGAGTGGAATCCAACTCAACGGCGACACTGCACTCGTTGCGACACGCAAGTTGAGAACTAGTGTGCGTGAGAAGCCAAGGATGTAGAAACGGATGCAGGAAGAGACAGTGCGGATGAGGGAACGAATGCAAGGGGCCGAGAGCAGCGGACGAGGATTTATGCACCCATACAACCCCGCAGGACGCTCCTCTTACGAATCCTCCGCATGAAAAGATTTTATTACAAGCACGCGTCCAGACACGCGAACGCCGGCGCGCGTCATTAGCGTCGCCGGCCTCGCCCCCCTGGACTCCCCGACGTCCTCGCGGCTCCAGCCATGGTGGGGCTGTCCTGCCTGCCCGCGGGCAGCACTGTGATGAAAGCCCTCTGGCATTGCCCCGCTGTGACCACCCTGCCTTCAATTTTTTTCCTATCTCTGCATTTAATATTTCACTCATTATTCTCATTATTCTCTTCTGCTCACACGGAATTTCTTTTGCAGTCAGTTCAAGGTTGGCCTTCACCATTCAACCCCACCCATGTTTCTGTAGCATAGCCCAGGTGGGTTGCTGATTCTCCCTGTATATGTTGAGAGATTGAATTATCCATGTCCCTCATACAAAAAGACAAATTGTCTTCATCAATTTTCACTGTTTATTATGGTTGGTTTCATCCACATTGATACCCTCCTTCAGGTGTGTGGTGATGATGTCCATACAGTCAGTGGCAGTCCACTTTGTGACAAAACTGAGGGCTCATTTCCAGAGATTGCAAAAATAATAGTTCCCTCCCAAATGCCTTTCTTTCTTTTGAACAGAATCATTAGCAAGCAAAGCCATTCCACCAACTTGCATTTAACTTGACATGGAGAGAAATCAGGGCATGCTCTCCCTCTTCAACTTTTCTCTGTGGTGAGTGACTCCTCCCCCTGTTATTTTTCCTCTCCCCCCTTTTTTTTTTCCCCTCTTCCTCTCACTAAAATTGAATTCAAGTTTGGGAAAGCATCACATCAAAGTAGTAGTCATCTCGGATCTCAATGCAATGGGCCTTTACAGGGCACTGGTGGTCAACTCAGTCTCTAACCTCCACAACCTTTACTGACTGCCCCAAATATCCCTCTTGTAACGAATCTTCAAACCGGGCAGGCTTCACATCCCTTTTTTTGTGGTTGCAATCTTAATGATATTGAGTCTTTATTTTAGTTGAAGGAAGGAGGGTGATTAAACCATTGCAACTCTTTGTGAACTTTGAGAATTGAGATGGAGAAGGGCTGCAGCTCTTAGATCCTCAAAAACTTAGAAACAAGGATTTGCAGCTTAATAAGATCACAAAATTCATGAAAAGAAATATGTGAGCTTCCAGAAGCATAACTAGGGGCAGCATACAATCCACAACCTTTGGAACTTTCATGAACTAGCTTGATCCACAACTTTCTTGTGTCCCTTCTATCTACAACGTTTTATAGCCACCAGAGCTCTGGGGAGAGGCCAAGTGGCAGAGAGAACATGGTGCTGAAATGGTAACCTCAGCCTTTGCATTTAAACTTGCCAAGCGGATTTGGGCATTCAATTCCCCAATCAACCATAAATGCATGCAAGTTGCTCAAAATGCTACCCTATGCCATATGGGTGATCCTTCTAGGTGGCTAAACTCCATGCCAAAATATAAACCATGATGGCTTCATTGAAAATACCCCTTGGTAGAGAAACCGTGCATTCATTCATTTTATTTTTAATTTTTTCCTAAAATGAGGTCCCTCTTTATTTTAAAATTCATGAATTCTAGGTAATCACAACTTGGATCGTGGTCACCTAAGTTTGGAATCCATCTTGAACAGAACTTTGTCACCATTGTGCTTTGAACTCAATAATTAGGGAATAAGATAGAATTCATATTAATATTATCAAATCATTCTGTGTAATTTCTTGACAAAAGTCTTGTGCAGGTGGAAATCTGAAAAGCCTTCACTTAAGCAAGCATAAAATTACCCCTAATTTTTTTTAGTTCCAAAATCCATAAATGCGTTATTTATTCTTTTTCAATTTTGAAAAGAAAGTTTACAACCCTGAAAGGTAATGTCTTGTTTACAAAAAACTATTTGGTATACTAGAAAAATAGAATAGAAAAGGAAAAATATAACTTTTTATAGCAGCATATTCTTATCTGTGATCATTGAATATGTCTTTGTACGCATTAAACTTGCAGGAGCTCATGGGACTGCTTTCCACTCACTCTTCTGAGAACATTCAATTAAATTCCTACTTCTGGAAATTAACTATTCAAGCAAGATGCTGGATTGGTGGAGCCCTCTCCTAATCAAGAGTTAAATGTGATTTGATAAGGTGATTGATTTCCAATATTTTTTTATAGAAAACTGAGGTTTGATCTCAAGCCAAAGAAGGATCAGGGCAAAACAAACAAACACTCTGTGTCCAAAAGTGGAATGATAAGAGGATTTACTTTATGGGATTGCCACTGGAACTAGAGACAAAAGGCACAACTATATATGATTGTAGCTATGTAGTAGCAGTATGGTCAACTAATATTTCTTCCTATGCATCTAGCTTTGTGCAGGTATTGCCCTAAAGATTGAAAAAATAAATAAATAAATCAACTGGGCAGATGTGAGTTATTGGGTACCCATTACAAAGATGGTGGCCAACATTCACCCCTGTATATTTGATTGCCATGTGAAGGGAATGATTAGGGTCAGCCTCCATTTCCTTCCTATTCTACAGGGGAAACCCACCACATTTAAGCCTTAAAAGTTATTTTAATTTTTTTCATTCAAGGTTTATTTCCTTCTTTCCTTCTTCTTCTTCAATATTAATTTACTCATTTATTCATAACTCTAACATCTGTGCTTCTCAGTTGACTAAAAAAAAATATAATTACCAATAACTTGCTAATATGACAAGTTTCATTGTTGTTACTGTTTTGATTTGTTTCTTCCTGCTTTGATAATTTCAAGTTTTAACTACATGCTATAATATCATGACCAAGTATTGAAACATTGCCAAAGCACACTGTTTCATGTATATATATATATATATTCATTTGTAAAGGACCATGCATCACACAAGATGATTGCATTTATACATGAATGAATACATGCATACATGTAAAGTACATGCTCAAAACCCTAAACCCAAAAATATAACAGTCAGCTTGCACTTATGAGCAATTTTTATGTCTTATTTTATTTTTAAATTCAGTCAATTTTCCATCCAGAATTTCTTACAGCTTTGTTCCATTTCCAAATAAAGAGACTGTACACTGTTTTCAATAGTGGAGTCTCCATCCACATAAACTATAAGCTGAAGACTGTAGTGATGTTTTGGCTTTCACTTGCATGAACACAGGATTCCTATAAGAAAATTACAAATTCTATCAACCATGTTCTCACTCAGTACAAATGCGATCATAATTTTTCCTAGGGTTTTATGGTGGAATCCATGCATCTGAGCAGGCAAACCCAGTCAACAAAGACCCATTCTTGCAAATCATGTGAACACCAATGGGGTTGAAAACCTTGTGCAAAATCATGGTAGAAACTTTAAACTTGGATACCATAGAGAGAATATCTTGTGGATGGACATCTTTGCTGGATGTTTTCCAAATTCTAACTGTTTGGCAAATTTTAAACCCTTTGGTTTGGCAACTTTCTTGCTAATTTGTAAATCCACAATTTATGAGTCTTGTTGAGGATACTTTGCTTCAAAAAGAAAAATAAGAAAAGAAAGAAGAAGAACGTGGTTTACAATTTAAAAAAAAAAAAAAAAAAAAAAAAAAGAGTAATAAGAATTGAAATCAAAATCAGTGTTAGGAATCAAATTTGAAACCTCTTGTGTTATATTACAATCACCAACACAAGCACTATAGTCTACTACTCTTCCTCTTCTTGAAGGATTCAAAATAAATATATTAAATTTGTTTTTGTCCCCACATGTTGTACCCAAAGCATGGATCCATGCTCAGGAGGCAACAAGCGGAGACAAAACCTTCTTTGTGAATGTCACTTCTTGGATGGTTGTGTATATGGTAATATTAATCCACAAAGCACATCGTAAGAATTTAACCAAGTGTTTTTGTCAGAGCACTAAAACTAAGCCTATAAATTCAAAATGTAGACTCTAAAGAAGAGTTTTGCTCTCATTGGTCTGTCTACCAAACCATAAAAATGCCTTGATTTGAGCTTCATCAAAGTCAATCCCAACATTGGAATCCAAGAAGCTAGTTCCTCAATCAATCCTTCCATTATTGAATGAGAGTTCAAAAATATTTTAACTTGTAAAAGCACTGGGACAACTATGTCACAACCAAAAATAATAATAAGAACAATAATAATAATTTTAATACCCACATATGTATTACAAAAGGGAACTGTGTGCAAACTCCAACTTGTTGATTTAACCAGAATATGAATATATGAAAACGAACAGTAGAAGAAGAGAAGACCATGAAACCATGATGTAGGACTCACTCAAGCTTGCATCACAAAGAAAAACATAAGAGGAGGGCCATGCTGCCCCCTGGGCAGCAGTGGCATGCAAGGACGCGGCGTGGGCGGTGTGGGCGTTGGGGTCCCGACGATTTCTGAAGTTGCACGCGTGCCTGCGAAGGGGAATACATGCCTGCGTGCCTGCCTGCCTTGCAGCGTTGGGAGAGAGGGGGGGGGGGGGTTGTTCCATGCGCTACATGCGTGCACAGAACTCTTCTCTTCTACTCTGTGCTCCTTGCTCCTCAGTCACTCTCTCTCTCACTTCCCTCCCCACATTCGCTCCAGCCTTTCTTGTCATCCAAATTCATTGATCGTGTCAGAGCTTGCGCACCGTCACTTGACGCCCACGTCAAGGCGAATGCTCTTGCTCACTCACGACCTGGATTGTCCTGCACGAGTCACCGAAAGACGTACGGTGTACAGTCAACTGCCAGTTTCCTGTCAGGCTCTGTGTTTTAAGTTAGTGTGAGGATGCTCCAATAAATTTCTTTCGTGGAGTTGTCGGTGCACGCCCATCTTGCCTGCCTGGACTGCTGATGTTATTTCTCTTGTCCAGAACCTTGGAGGTGCAGTGGAGGTCTCTCATCTATTGCAACTCCCAGGAGTGGAGGCGGATTTTGTGAGGGATTCAGCTTGAAGCGATCCGTATTTACATAACAGTTGTTGGCGATGTGTATAGCAGCTCTTCGCCGTGTTCCACCCAGCGATGACACCCACTATTTTGTTCTCGCAATCAGCCCGAGTATCCGCGGAAACGATGCAATGGGAAAGAGATCATATCTTCCTTCTGCAGGTGCGGACCGCCACCAGCAGCTCGAAGGTGCGTGGAGGTTCTCGCACGACTTCAAAGAGTGTGTCGATATCCAAGAGCAGTTTGTCGTTGGACATGAGCCTTTTTAGGGAGAACGAACCAGCACATGAGGACGCCGGAGAATTGGGTTGTGAGACCCCCAAATCCAACGAGCACAGAATCCCCGCTGTGGACATTGATGCTTGTCCACCAGCTCCAAAGAAGCCTCGCGGGATGGGTCGATTGGCACTGGCCTGCGCAACTGAATGCGAGAACTGACATCCGGCAGGCCGACCTGGGCTTGCAATTGTCACCGTGCTACCTGTTCTGAGCATCATCGTGGATTCTCGCAGAAGAATACTCCGGCAGTGAGTTTGTCGGAGATGGGTTAGAAGATGAGTGAAAGGAGCAGAACGGAAGAGCGGAGCCCAGCACGACGGCCGCTCGTACCAGCGAGAAGTGCGACACTGGTCGGTTACCTGAAAACACGAAGCAAGGGCACTCGCCAGCTCTACTACAACGAGCGAATGCAAAGAATCACTCGCCACCTGCCATCGATGGATCGACTAAATGATGGGAGAAATGCAGGACTCCGCTGCTTCCATAAACAGAGGAGAAACAGCAGTATGATGAGGCGACCCAACCTTAGCCCTTGTTCTATTGCCAGAAGCAGCATCAGTGATGCATTGGAGGTAATTATGGAGCCCAGAGTATGATTTAAATTTCCGTTGTTTCATGTGTGAGACTATCCCGCGAGCATCATACACACAGTCGTCGGTACATCTGTTTCTCCTTGATTTGAAACGTTGTGGCAGGCATGACGTGGCTTCTCTTTAACAACCGGGTGCACGAACGACCAGACAGACAGACAGACCTGTGTATTCAATCCTTACAAACTCTATGTTCTTAAGAACAGAATAATGCGTCGTTACGGATTGACAGAACTGTACAACTGTCAATTGCCTAGCTATCAATTGAATGTGTAGGTCTTTATTAAAAGCGAATCACGCTCTGCACCCGAGGTTCGAGTCATAGTTATCCATTTCACCTTTCATTCCTACTAACGGTGCAGCCTCGTAATGGGGACAAATTTTTATGCCATGTTGTTTTTTGGAATCAGGATCTGTGAATATTATATTCATTATTCCAGATCCATTGCCGTTTCCATCCATGAATGCCTTTCTGGGGGACATTCTGTTTCTTTGATGATGAAATTTTAGCGGCACCCGAGACCACAATATATTCGTAGTGGAAATCAGTGTACCAAAGTGAAACAGTGCCACGTAGTTAACATTAATATTCCATTTATATTACGTTTAAGTCCATTCTCCTCTTCCAAAGCCATTTCAATTTCATTAACAATGGCACAGCTACAGCATAAAGGATCAAAACTCCTCGAGCTTGCATGCAATTCCGTGTGATCATATGTTTCTTTGGAGAGATAATGCAATGGTGAGAAGGGTTTTGAAGTGCATCGTGAGATGCAGTTCTGCAGTAAATGGACCCGACGTAGAAAGGATAGGAGTGGGCTCACAACTCGAATGAAGACTCCTGAATTTGTGCCGAAAATGGAGTTTTGCGTATCATTGAAAATATTGAGTGAAAGTTAACAAACAAGGTGGATTGTGAAATGTATAAATTTTCACCTAAAGGTGAAATTGGGTGGCAGACGCCGTGGCTCCTAGGACCACAAGTCATTTTCACAAGGACGTTCTAATGGAACGAATCCTCGGTATCAGTGTGTAAGATGGAAAGCACTCGTTGGCAGATGTCACGTTATATGCACCTCATCTTTACAGGACGAGAACAGTACACTATAATAATAGTTTTCCAAGAACAAATTACTGGACATACGAAGCAGAGATTATGCACTACTCAGAGACGGGGATGGAACCTCAAAAGTAATGCTCTGCAACAGAATTTGCATTCCATTTCAATTTCAGGCCTCAAGCTTTGCACAAAAAAGCTTTGATAGCTTGGTGTAGCATGGTCCTGCTGTCTCTATGCCCAATTCAACATCCTATCACTTGCCAAACCAGCATATTCTATCATACATAATATAACACTTAAAACTCTAATAGACGGAAGACCACGCTGTCAGTCCACATTTTAGACGACAGATTAATTAGGTTTTTTTTGTCGCAACGATCTACCATAATTCGAGCCTTCTACAGAAAAAACGAAGGCACTATGCATCAGATATCACAATCTATATGGATTTAAGGGATGGGGGAGCTGTGAGTCCTGCGAAGACTGTTCCGGGTGGTGAAATCCGGCGGGGGGCGGGGCAGAAGAAGCACGGCAGCAATACCACCAATGAAGGCAGCTCCAGCTCCAAACAAAAAGGCTGGCATGTTGCCTCCGCCGAAGAGCTCGTCCCAAGGCCCACTCCCCACGGACACAACCATCTGCGGTGCGACGATAGCGAGATTCAACAGGCCCACAGACAGGCCCTGTCCACCGCCCACTTTCTCTGTGTAAGTTGCTGTCAGTGAGTATGGCACTGAGTACGTCACCGCGAGGGGAGCTCCCAGAATTGAGAATATCACCAGAGCGGAGTAGATCACGTAATCAGGTGGGCCGGCACCAGGGTTGAGCGCTGCTGCTTGAGCCGCGGCACGCGTTACCACACCAGTTCCGATGAAACAGGCCGCCATGATCACGTTGGCAATTCCCCAGACGTAGCTGGACCCAAGCTTCCTGCACACGAAATCGATGCAGAGGGAGGACAGACCAAGCACGACGGAGTTCAGCAACAGCCCAAGCGAACCCATGTGCACACCATCGTAGTAAAAGTTGCTCCTGATGGGATCAGAAGGCTCTCCGCCGTAAACCTCCCGTCCCATCCAGTCAGTGTCGAAGAGAAGGAAGGGGAACCACGCGATCCAAGTGAGCGCCGTGACGAAGAGAATGCACCACATTGGCCTTGGGAGGTCCCTCAAAGCTCCCATCAGCTCCCAGAACAGCGCCTCGGACTCGTGCTCGTCTTCATCATCATCATCATCCGACGATTCACCACCCGCAGCACTGCTAGAGATCTCATCCGCAGGCTTACCAGTCAACAGAGGTTGCGTCACGGACTTCGAAGCTGTTCTCTTGACCGCATTCTTGGGATCAAACGGAATCTCGCTGGCCGCCGTCACACTCAAGAATGTGGTGATCAACAATATAGTCACCCCCAACAGGAACGCGGACTTCAGATTGGCGCAGGCAATGTCGCAAGCCTTGGTATGGGTGAATTTGAAGACCTTGTACCATCCATCATACGCTCCAGTTGCGAATCCCAGAATGTTCCCAAGGGCCATGAACAGCGAGAAGAATGCGTTGGCCCTGCGGTTCCGCTTCTGATCCTTGCCAGTGAAATCCGCCAGCAGCGCCCTGCAGGGACCTTGGAGGGTGTTGTTCGCCATGTCGAGCACCCAGAACCCGAACACAAAGATAAGCACAGCACGCGGGCGGGTCGCGCCCATCAGCTCATCACCCAGGAGGTACCCAAGATCAGCAGAGTACCCGATGATGAGCACCGCCACGACCACCAGGGCCGCACCGGAGAGAATAAACGGTCTCCTCCTCCCATAGCTACTCGTGCAGCTATCACTGTAATGCCCCACAATGGGCTGCACGATCATGCCACTAATCGGTCCACACAGCCAGATAAAACTCGCCCATGCGTGCGGGATACCGAGCTCCTGCACATAAGGCGTCAGCAACGACAACTGCAAAGCCCAACCGAATTGCACCCCAGCCGCAACGCTAGCAACTTGGATCAGAGCCCGGATGGGCACCCGGTTCTTCTTCTTCACCTTGTGCGACTCCATCTCGCGGCGATGGAGCAATCAATTCCGCACACACGCTCAGGCAATCCCACAATCCTCCTCCTCCTCCGTCGCTGCAAAGCGGATCAAGTATAGGGGGGTGGGATCCAGGTCTCCTTCACCTCTACGACTAATGCACCGAACACATGCAATTCCAATTAGTGAGGAGACAGGAGCGGTAATGCTCACTTATGAGGGAGGCGCGTGAGGGTGGTGTTGATCTGGTCACGCATCCGTGTTGTGAGCTGCTAATCCCGTCGTCGGGTGCCTCGGTGTGTGAGCTGTGTGATCTGAAACCTTCAGTGAGCGCTGAATTTTCCACCTGTATATTTCAGTGTAGTTGGACGCAAATGGAATGTTTCCACCTGGCCCGGCTGCGATCTGCCAAGTTGGCCACCCGTATTGGGACCGAAATAACACCCTATGGCCCCATGAGTCCCCCCCCATTAACTAGTTAGAGTGTGTGTGTTTTGGATGATGCCTTGCCCCTGCGACCCAGTTCCTCCTCCTTCCCAGTTCTTCTGCACTGTCTTCGTTACGCTTTTATTTATTTATAATTAACAAAAGTGAGGGCATTGCTGGTTCGTTTGTTCTTATCCCTCGCGGTCTTTTAGCCTCCCCTTCAACCTCCCTCCCTCCCACTGCCCTTCCTGAGATGCTCTTCTTCCCCTAACATGTGATTGCCCAGCTTTCGTGCTAATTCAATTTTAGACTCATTCATATATTTATTTTTACATTTTTGACTCAATTGCTGTACAACTCTCTTGCGAAACGCAAATAAAATGCACAGGTTTATTTTTATTTTTATTTTAAAACAGATAGAGGGTGATGGCGGTGTGACTAACTACTGTGTGAAATCGGGTGACAACTTAATTGCCTACCTCGAGGTAGCAAACTAAGAATTAGGTAAGTAATTTGGAAGGGGAAGGCACCAAAGACGTTGGTGTTATGTTCATGCGGTAAATATGTCATTTTCGCATGAAATGTTTTTTTGAAAATTCACATTTTTTTTGGGATATCATTTTTGTGTTTTGATGTGTGTGTGTGTGGATATTTTTTTCCAAAAATAATTTCAATTTCATATGAGTACAATACAACTTATTCGCCTTCTTAGTTGTTTCAGCAAGTCATTACCAATTGGATGATAATATGTCAAATTGTTTTTTAAACATACTTGATAACATCATTCCACAAATTAATCTAATAAGGTAGGAGGCCAAATTCATCTTTTATTACTGTTGCCAAAATAAAAGTGTGTAATTCTACAATATTTGTTAACATGTGGAAGTCAATGTTTTTAACATTTGCAAAGCACTATTTTTAAAAGTTGGAGTTTACCATGGACGATATATGATAGTGACACAAGTTTTCCTTTATCCATTATTTCTTGCATGTAGGGCTAATTTGGAAGAGTTTAGGTAACACATACTTCTATGTATCAATAATAGGTTTCCGAATAAATACTGTTTTAGAAAATTAATGATCTTTGTAAAAATATAGTATACAGATTATAGTTTTTATACTATTATTTTACTATCATAAATGACTGAATTAATGTAAAAATTAAATAAAGTGAAGATCTACTGAATTGGACTCAAATCTTAATACTATATTTCATAACCAACACAATTATAACATCTTATAGATTAATGGAGTTAATATCCCTATTTTTCTAGGGCTAACTATATTATGAACAAACAACATATGCTCAGCTACAATTTTCCATGCTAAAAAAATAAGTAATTGTTGGCTACACATCTGATTTTTCAAACGTTTTTCTCATTTTCATTCCAATTAAAAATATATATGGCTAACAGTTACATATTGACAATTGTAGCATTAGGTTAGTTTATTGTTTCTATTTTTCCACCAAAGGACAAAAAAGATGCTTGTAATATTTATGTGGATAAAAATTCTTTCTTGTAATTTTATATGTAAAAATATTCACCTCATATTTGTATTCATATTTTTTTAGATTTGGACAGATTAACAATAATCTTAAAGGTAAGCTAGAAGATTATAAAAATACAGATAATATTACTCATTGATTCTTCTTTGTCTGACAGAATTAGTAACATATTATTGGCATAATAAACAAACAAATTATTATTTTTTATACAAATAAAATTCCTTGTATTTTTTATATACTTGACTAATTTATTATCATTGCAATAAATTATTTTTTAATGATAAAAATAAAAAAAAAAATTCTACTAAGTATCTTATTTGATTAGAAATAATTCAAAAGAAAAATTATTGAACTTTATAAAAGATTTAAAATTCTTCAATTTGAAATAGATTATATGTGTGGACTTAATAGATTTTGTTTTTTGATCTTAGAGTGGAAGTCAGTTTAGCAATATTCTAAATATATGTATGGATATATATATATATATATATATATATATCAATATGCATATTTAATAATTTTTAGTAACATACTACAATTCAATATTTAAAAAAAATAATCTTTTCTTGTATATTGTAATCTTTATTTTAAAAAATTAGTATGTTAATTTTTTTGATTAAAAAGTATCATTTTTTTTCAATTTTTTTCATGTTATGCATGTTACAAGTATCTATTTTTATTTATTTTTTTACTATAAAAACAAATTAATTATATCTGAACAAGTTAAAATTTAGATTTTAATCATCTATTAATTTTTCTAATAAAATTAAAATTTTACTTTAAAAAGTACATATTATATAAGCAATCAGATATTTTGTAGTTTTTTTTTTTTTTTTTTTTTTTTTTTTTTTTTGTTTTGTTTTGTTTAGTTTTGTTTTGTTTGTTTTGTTATGTTATGTTATGTTATGTTTTTTTTTTTTTTTTTTTTCTTAAGTTTCTATTAACAAGTTCTTTGTGTCGTTATATTAGTGACTGAGATAGAAATCACAAAGAACCAAAGGATCTATACACTCATGTGTCACTAAAAAAAATAGATAATCACTCAAAGATGGTATAATATTATAATTAGAATAGTTATTGCTAAAGATAAGAAGACTAAAAATTCTTCAAATAAAACTAATAACAAAAAAGATATTAACTAGAGTAAAGAAGGCCTCATTCTTGCTTACTATTCGATTAGGATTTACATTGTCATGTTTTATAGAACCTCCAATATGTGTCTAATTTATAAGACACATGTCTAATTTGCAAGACAATTTTCTTATATGGCCAATATATACCACAAGTCACTAACATGTGCAACATATTGTTAACTTTTTAGCTAAGTTTTTAACCTTTCAATCACCTACAAATACATAAAAAGTCAAATCCGCATCTATAAAGCTTTCAAGAAGTGATTCCTTCAAATATTGACAAATTTACATACTTCTACTTACTTTTATGGTCAAAAATAGGCACATAGAATATGAGATAAATTTTTATTGGCTCAAATACATATAATGAATTAGCAACTTGATTAATCTATTTACAAGTTAAAAAATAGTCTAAATCTACAATTATCCAATTTGCTAGAAAGATGAGTAATCTTGGTATTACAATAAAGTAATCATACCTTATTATATCACAGATATATACATTTATTCCAATAGTTATTTATATGATTAGATAGAAGTAGATAAATATAAATTAATTTCATAAAGTTTTCTAAAGAAACTTTTTAGAAGCTTCATAGATGTGGTTTTGACTTTAGATGTGTTTATAAGTTAGAAACTCGGCCAACAAATTAATTACGTGTTAGTAGCTTGTCGAACAAGTTAACTTTGTATAGTAGCTTGTAAAACAAGCTAATTATGTGGCACATACATAGATAACTTGCCTTGCAACTTAAGACATGTGGTTAGCAAACTTAATACATGTTGGAAGTCATATAGAATATCACAACATAGCTCGTAGTTATAGAGTATATATGGAGGCAGGACTGAAGCCTTCTTCACTCTTGTCAATATCTTTCTAGTATTTAGTCTTATTCCAAAACTTTCCATTCTTCTTTTTTTTAGCAATAGCTATTCTAGTTCAATATTATATCATCTTTGAATGACTTTTTAGTTCTTTTCAGTGATACAAAAGTGTATTAAGGATTTTCTTTCCTTGAAATTCATATCCTTGATAGTTTGACAAGAGTGTTAACTTTTTATTTTTATCTTTTTTTAAAAAAAAGTAGATTACTTCACTTTTATTGTTGTATTTTGAAGGTTGCGGATTATCCAACTTTAAAGAAAAAATCTTATTTTTTAACATTGATTTTTTTCCTTAAAAAATAATGGATTATCCCTCTTCATGGAAATTTTCATTTGACATTAGAAGTTGTGGATTATCCTCTTCTAATTTAATTTTTTGATTTTTTTTAAATTATCTATGTAAGAAAAGATTATGGATACTACTTTTAATAGAAGTGAGAATAGATTTGCAACTGTTACAACTCTTTAAGAGCTTATCAATACTCTAAGAGTAGAAATCTCATGTATTTTCAATGTGAATTATAGATGTATTATTCCTACACCTATAAAAGTAGTTTTAAGTCTACATAAAAAAATTGTGAAATTAAAGGAAGCAAGTAGATCAACTTTACAACCAAATCCAAGAAGTTTTGTTTGTATAAATACAACAAGAAGCATGATTAGTATGATTGAAAAGTTTGATGGAATAAGATCAAAATTTCAAAGATTTTTGCAACAAGTGAAGTTCTATCTAAGATTGTATGCCTTCTAATATCCTAATGAATTTACTCAAGTTGAGTTTATAGGTGTACATAAATCCGGAAGTGATCTCTCTTGGTTTGCACCTTTGATGGAAAAGGATTTACAACTTCTTTATGATTTGAATTCATTTCTAGAAATATTTATGGCGACATTTGGAAAAAGTAATCAAGAAAGAATAATAGAGATCAAGCTCTTATCTTTATGATAAGGATCACAATCAACTACCATATATGTTGCTAAATTCCAAAACCTTGCTAGCAAAGTAGACTGAAATGACAAAGCCCTTATCAATCAATTTTGATATGGGTTGAAGGATAACTTTAAAGATTTATTATTGATAATATCAAAAGTAAAATCTTTGGAATAATTTATTGCTTAAGCCATTGCATGCAAAAATAGATTATTTAAAAGAAGCAAAGTAACAAACTGACTACCTGTATAAAAAAATTTGTCTCAATCTAATTTGCAGATTGATAGATATTTAATAAAATCTCATTGGTTTTTAAATCCCTAAATTCCAAGACCATAATCCACAAAAACCTTCATGCTTTTCAATCTAACCATTCAATCAAATCCAAATTCACAGTACATAT